CCTTCGGCTCATCCCGCCTTCGTGCCTGGGTCGTTCTGTGACATTTTGCGAACCCTACCCTTGCGGGTCCAATCGACGCTAGGGTATCGGACAACCCCCCTGGGAATCACTTATCTGCCGACACTCCTCAATTCTGAACCCCAGGTGGTTTTTCAGACATCTGACCTGCCCGGGCAGGGTTCGCAGCGGGCTACCCAGCCGTGGACGTAAGAAGCCTCTTACAGGCCTCTTGGCTCTTGGAACGCCTCTTGGCACCTCTTGGAGGCCTCTGTTGGGTCTATCGGGGCCTCTTCGAGGGGCGATCTTAGGGGCCTCTTGGGCTGCCTGGGACAAGTGAAAGATCGAAGATCGAGAACCCGAGAATTTTAAATTCTTGAGTTTGGCTTCTTGGCAGGGGTCTCCAAGACGGACCAAGAGGCCTACCAGGTGGCTCCAGGACGGCCCCTTGGGGCTACCACGGGTCATGTTGGAAGCTTAGATTCTGAACCGCGTTCCTGGGGCCTCGGGAAGAGTCACGAGCCAAGCCCCAAGTGCTCCCAGAAACGCGCACGGACATCTCCGACATTTGGGGTCTAGGCCCGTATAGGAGCATGTGGAAAACCTTGTACAGAGACCTCGAAGGGACGTGAGGACACTCCACGTCGTGCCTCGGGGCATGCCGGCAGATTTCTCGGAGACCTTCGGCGACGGCTGGGAGAGCCGTTGGACGTTGAGCAAGTGGAAGGAGAGCGAAGGCACTGCAGGCAAGTGGGAAGCTACCGCAGGCAAGTGGTTCAAGGACGAGGCCGAGGACAAGGGCATCCAGACGGCCGAGGACTCCAGATTCTTTGGAATCGCTACCTCCTTTCCGTCTTTCAGCAACGAGGGCAAGGAGCTCATCATCCAGTACCAGGCCAAATACGAGAAGGACGTGGAATGCGGGGGCGGGTACATGAAGATCGGACCGAAGGTCGACGACCTGACCACGTTCGGCGACCCAACACCGTACAACATCATGTTCGGGCCTGACAAGTGCGGTTACACCAAGAGGACACATTTGATCTTCAATTACAAGGGCAGCAACGTGCTGAAGAAGTCCGACCTGAGCTACAAACAAGGTGAGGACTCTGGCATCTCGCACCTCTACCGCATGGTCCTCAAGCCAGACAATACTGTCCGTGTCGAGATCGATGAGGAGAAAATCTACGAGGGATCCATCAAGGAGGACTGGGAGGTCCTGAAGCCGAAGGAGATCCCAGACCCGGATGACAAGAAACCGGAGGATTGGGTGGACAGCTCCATGATGGACGATCCCGAGGACAAGAAGCCGGACGACTGGGTGGAGGAGAAGCGCATCGTGGACGAGTCGGCTTCAAAGCCAGACGATTGGGACGATGAGGAGGACGGCGAGTGGGAGGCCCCCATGAAGGACAATCCCGCGTACAAGGGTGACTGGAGCGTCAAGAGGATCACGAACCCGGCTTACAAAGGGGTTTGGGAGGCCAAGAAGATCGCCAACCCTGAATACGTGGATGATGATAAGGTTTATTCGTATGCCGATTTCGGTTTTCTGGGCTTTGACTTGTGGCAGGTCAAGGGTGGCACCATTTTCGACAACATCATTTTGTGCGATGATGTGGCTGAGGCCGATGAGTTCGCCAAGAAATGGAAGGCCTTGAACGAAGTCGAGAAGGCGAAGAAGAAAGAGGAGGACGACGCCAAGAAGACCGAGAGCGCCGACGCTGAGAATGACGACGATGACGATGCTGACGACGACAAAGCAGAGGCGGAGGAGATGTAGTTGCTCCGCAGCGACGCCGCCGAGGCGCTCGTTGGAGGTGCTGAATTGCTGCTGATTTTCCAACGTGTCAGATGTTACACACATTAGCTGATTTTGTCACAGTGCTTATCCTGTGCAACGTCCGTGCAGGCTTATGCTGCTGCTTTGGTGTAGCGGATGGCGAGAAACCTGTCGGCTCCAGAGGTTGCCGATGTCCCTTGAGCCCGCACCACGGGCTCATGAAAGCAACTCCACCCTCTCTCCTGCTCATCACACTGCATCATCCCTTCTCCCTCCTTCTGGCGACGCACATGACGTGCAATCTGGGTCGTGTCCTAGCCTCACGCGCTCAGACGCTAGTGTAGACCCCCAAATACAGCGCTACCGCGGAGCGCCAACGAGATAGGGATTCACTCTCCTCAGCAACATGCTGATGCTGCGCGTATCCCGAGCAGCACATCCACAAACGAGGCCCATGGTAGTTGCCAGGAGGGAAGTCATGCACAGGCATATTCTGGAACAGAGAGGCCATCGATGGTGGACTGCAAGAGCTCTGGGAGCCTTCTGGAGGCTTTTCGGAACCATCTTGGAGCTCTCTTGGGGCGGACCTTTGAGGCCCACTTGAGGCTCTCTTGGGGCCTCTTTGCGGCCCTGCGGAGCCTCTTGGGGCCATCCTGGAGGTCATCGGTCAAACCATGGGGGTGAGCCCTCCAAGCGCGTCGCCCTTTGGAGCTCGCCTCTTGGAACCACCCTCCAGGCGGCTCTTGGGGGCCGTTGGGCCGTACCGGAGTCTTTCTGGGCCCCTCTTGAGGTTCCTGAGAGATCTCGACGCCATCTGGACACCTCAGAAGCGCAACACGAATTGAATAGTCGCACGTGCTGCAAGGGCGGGGTTACCTTTTGGAGACTTCTTGGCCGCTTGTGACCGTCTTGTAGCGGTCTCGGGGCTTTTATGAGACATGCTGGAATCCATATTAAGCCATTTTGGGTCATGCCATGACACATCGGATTCTCTTGTTTGGCTGTGCAGGGCCATCTTGCAGCCACCTTGGACACTCTGATCGGCCGCGGCCCCCTCCCCCCGTCCAGATGCAGGGTTGGGGGTACAGTCTGACCGACGAGGAATCAGATCGAGGTCGGTTCGGGGCGGGTACTCTAATGTTTTTCGTGTTTGTTCGATGTTCTCGTGCATCCTGGGGAGGGTGCCCTTGGATGTTCAGTTTGTTTTGCCCGGCGGGGTGTCTCGTGTTCTTGAGGGATGTTTTTGTGGCACAGGTCTGACTGTAAGGAAAGGGGTGAGCACATCCCCGCAGGGCCCAAGGGCGTTGTAAGAACGAACTCGTGACATTACCTACGCCCCGAAGGGCTGGTGGGACTACCTGCTGGCTGCTGAGCCTCGCCCTCCTCTCCCTCGTCCGCCTTTTGCTCGTCGCCTCTATCTTCTCCTCCTCCTCATCATCATCCTACTCCTCCTCCTCCTCCTCCTCCTTCTCCTCCTCCTCCTCCTCCTCCTCCTCCTCCTCCTCCTCCTCCCCTTACTCCCAGCCATCGAGTGTTCGCCCTCTCGAAGCAGCCCGTGGCCCCTCGGTCTGGGCTCGAAACTGTTTTGTTCGCCTCCGACTCCGCAAGCCGAGAATAGGCCGGGCCTCTCGGCGCGCGGGCCCTGGTGGAGAGAGCGCGGGCCCAGGCCAGGAGCTCGGCTCTTTCGGCTGTGACAGACCTGGCTGACGTTGTGGTTTCTTTTTGCTTGGAGGAGGGGGGGGGGGCGCCTTGTCGGTGGGCTCTGGGCAGGGCTCGTCACCCTCGTCAGCTTGTCTGGGAGCGCGCAGTTCTCGTCCTGATGTGCGCCCCCCAAGTTGCTCTCCCCCCCTGAGGATGAGGATGGGGATGGGGATGGGATGGGGATGGGGGTGGGGGTGGGGATGGGGTGGGGATGGGGTGGGGAACGCGCAGTTCTCATCCTGATAGGACCGCCCCTCAGGATGGGGATGGGGTGCCGTTTTGAGCATGGAGTTCTCGCCTTGACGCCACGCGCACTCGTTCTAAAATCTAGCAACAGTTACCCGCCGGTCGTTGAAAGTAGGTGTGTTTGGATTCCCAGTTCCCAACCTATTTTAGGCGCCTTCCTGCTTCAAGGGTCGAGCGGTGTTTCCTCTTCCCTCCTCTTCGGGGGGCGGGCGGAAGCCCAATCTACTTCAACCATCTTCCCACTTCATGCTTTTACCCACTTCTTCAGACCGACGGGTATACGGATCAGGGGTGTTTGCAACATGAAGCTCTCGCCATAGCGCCGCGCGCATGGCCGTTTTCAAAAGTGGGCTCTCGCCTTAGCGCTGCGCACATTCGCTTTAAGGATTAGAAGGGATACAATTATGGAGGACGGTTCCTTTTCACGAGAGTGCTCTCATTTCATGATTCCCAAGCTGCAAGACCGCAGCTTGGACAACTGGAACATTTGCACGGTTCCTTTTCAACATGGGATTATTGGTTGAGACTTCCTCGAAGTTTTTGGTCATACATGCCAGCTGGTGCAATAGTGATATCTTGCTGGACGCCACGCTGAGCTGTGTTATCATACCCTTTTGCATTCCTGCTCATCCGCTAGGCGGGTGCACGGCAATTCCTTTTCAAAACGAAGCTCTCGCCAGCAGGGCATGCCCAAATAGAGCTGGTCTTTCAGCAGGACGCTTCTTGTAGTGAAGGGAAGGCTTGGGGGGACTTAGGACGGGAGGGTGTGTCGCAGCATCGTTGGTGCATCTTGGATTTACTCTTTCTCGTCCTCTTCTTTGCTTCCCCTTCCTCCCCCCCTCCTCTGTCTCCATTCCTGCCCCCCTTCTCCACCTCCTCATCCTCCTCCTCATCTTCGTCATCCTCCTCATCCTCCTCATCCTCACTCTCCTCCTTGTCCCCCCTCTTCCTCCTCCTGCCTCTTCATCTTTTTCCTGCTCCTTCCCCGGCTCCCCCTCCTGCCCCCCTGTCTTTTTTGGACGCCAGCGTATTGCCAGGGGAGCCCGAGACGCTCCAGGGACGGTCCAGAGAAGCCTCGAAGAGGACGCGAAGGGTCCCAGACGGCCAGAGATGGCATTGAGATGCCTTTGAGCTGGCCCGAGAGGGCCTCGGTCCGCCGCCAAGAAACCAAGCAACACAACAAGTCTCAGTTGTTGTTCTTCTGATCTTGCCTCTCTGATGGTCTGCTCGCACGATGGCTTCGCGACCCTGTGGCACCGCGTCCCCCTCCCCACAGTCGGCCATCATGCGGAAAGACTTCGCCGCCGCGGAGGGTTTCTTCGCGAAGTTGCCCGAGAGCAGCCACAATCGCGTGGCCCGCTTCCTCGAGAACCAGGCGGGCTGGGCAGGGAGGGGTGGAGGACTGGGGAGTGGGACGGGGGTGAGGAGGGGGGGACGAGAAGGAAGAGCACACGGAGGAGGAGGAGGACGAGGAGCGAGGTGGATGATGAGGAGGAGGATGAGGATTGAGGACGGGTTGGGTGGAGGAGGAAGGGAAGGAGGGGAAGTGGGGTGATGATTACCTTGGTGAAGACGAATATCACAAAGATGATGAAGATGAAGATGAACATGATGATGCTGATGATGCTGCTGATGCTGCTGATGGTGCTGCTGATGATGATGATGATGATGATGATGATGATGGCTCTGATGATGATGACGATGGTGACGATTATATCAATGGTACTGGTGATGGTGATGGTGATGCAGGTGATGATGATGATGATGATGATGATGATGATGATGCTGATGATGATGATGATGATGATGATGATGATGATGATGATGATGATGTAGATGAGGACGCTGATCTTGATGATGTTGGTGATGAGTAAGGCCTCGTGTTTTGTTGTGGTTGACGTTGGTGATGTCGGTGATGTTGTTGATGCTGATGGCGAGGATGGCGATGATGATGGCGATGCTGATGATGAGGTTGATGCTGATGCTGATGCTGCTGCTGATGATGATGAGGATAACGATGACGACGAGGATGTTGATGATGATGCTGATGTTGATGATGAGTTATACTCGATGATTTGTTGTTGATTGTGATGATGATGATGATGATGATGATGATGATGATGATGACGCATGTGATGATGCTGATGATGATGGTGATGGCGGTGGCGGTGTCTATGATGATTTGACTGATGACCATGATGAGCATGCTGACGTTGGTGGTGATGATGAGGGTGGCGATGATGATGCTGATGATCATGATGATGATGCTGCTGATGATGATGACGATGCTGATGATGCTTATGACGATGATGATGCTGGTAGTGATGTTGGTGATGATGCTGATACTGATTGCTATTTCGCTGGTGATGTTGGTGACGACGATGCGGCTGCGGCTGCCGATACTGTTATTGTTGTCGATGGTGGTGATAGTGATGATGGCGATGCTGATGATGCTGATGATGATGGTTTTGATGCTGCTGCTGCTGATAATGATGCTGCTGTTGATGATGACGACGCGGATGATGATGATGACGAATGGAATGATGCTGGCGATGATGATGAAGAAGAAGTGTAAGATGATGATGATGATGCTGATGATGATGATGATGATGCTGATGATGATGATGATGCTGATGATGATGATGCTGATGATGATGATGATGCTGATGATGATGATGATACAGGTGATTTCTATACTGATATGGGTGATTATGATATGATGATGATGATGATGATGATTTTGTTGCTGCTGGTGATGATGTTGATGATTATGCTGATTATGATGATGGTGGTGGTGATGATGATGACGATGGTGAGGCTGATGCTTCTGATGCTGCTGCTGCTGATGATGATGATTATGATGATGATGATGGTGATGATGATGATGACGATGATGATGATGATGTCGACGATCACGCTGCTGCTGATGATGAGAATGCTGATGCTGATGCTTCTGATGCTGATGATGATGGTGATGATGATGATGATGATGATGATGATGATGATGATGATGATGATGATGTCGACGATCACGCTGCTGCTGATGATGAGAATGCTGATGCGGATGCTTCTGATGCTGATGATGACGATGCTGATGATGATGCTGTTGATGACGATGATGCTGATGCTGATGCTGATGCTGCTGCTGCTGCTGATGATGGTGATGATGATGATGATGATGATGATGATGATGATGATGATGATGATGATGATGATGATGATGATGGCGATGCTGTTGATGCTGATAAGGTGGATGATGATTTTGGTGGTGATGATGAGGAGTAGGAGGAGGAGGATGAGGAGGAGGGGGATCACTGACCAAGCTGCCAGGACAGCGAGGGGGCCGCCTTTGGACAGTCCCTGAGCCAAGTAGGGATTGTCAAGGGGGTGCACCCGTTACCCGGGGAACCCCAATTCGTTGCCGGTTGTTGTCGGTTGCAAACGAGGGCGAAACCTGGCTAGCAACCCACGATGAGGGCAGGCGCGCCAAAACAGGAAGTGAAGGGGTTTCAGGCCTTCTCAGAAAGCGGCGGTTTTTTTCAGCAGACTCTGGCTTTCTGGGAAACCCACCGTGCCTTCAGAAAGGATTTTGGCCCTTTCTCACATGGCCAGAGGTCGTGTGAACCTTCAGAGAAGGCAGGCCCCCTCGCGCTTCCCCCCATGGGCCCACCCGAAGACCATACCGCTGCAAAATATCGAGCTTCCTGCACCCTCTCACCTCCCTAACGACCGACGCCAGCCTGATTCCCCCGAGCCTAAAACGACGACGGAGAACCGAGACGAGTATCCTAGTCCTGGCCCGCCCCCCGGGTTGGGTCGGGATAGACGGGCTGGGAATGCCGAAAGTCCCCACCCCGCTGTTGAGGAGCGAAACGGCCCTGTAGGGGATCGGCTGCCCCCCCTGAGCCCGGCAGGCCGGGACAGGGATCATCCCTGTCCCGGCCTGCCGAGCCCGGATGCCGAGCAAAAAGATAGCCTCATCCCTTCAGCCCTGTAGCCCGCAGGGATAGCGGTGTGGCCTCAAAGAACCAACACCCTGACTGGGGAGACCTTACTCCCCCCTGCATAATTCGTGAGGACCGGCATCCCTACATGCGGCTTGCTACCGGAACTCCATCCAGCCGTGTTTGTTGAGTCTGACCGGCCGAAACAACGGACCGCAGGCTAGATGGGCATGCGAAGCATAGCCGTAGACCCCAGTCCTGACATAATTCCAGTGCGGATGGCGCGAAGCCCTAGCAGAATGCTCGAGATCTTGCCTACCTACGTGCGGCGTGCTACCAGAACCGCAGCCGTGTTTGTTGAGTCGGGCCAGTCGAAACAAGGGACCGCAGGATAGATGGTTATGCGAAGCATAGCCGTGGGCCACAGTCCTGGCAGAGTTCCAGTGCGAACGGTGCCAGCCTATCCAGACGCAGTGCGACTAACGCAAAGACGTCTGCTGGGATAGTGGACTTGGGCTGGCCGAAACCACGGCCAGCGCGCGGGTCGGGCATGCGATGCAAAGCCTTCGCCCGAAACCCTATTCGAATTTCCGAGAACTTGCCGATCTACGTGCGGCGTGCTACCAGAATTCCAGCCGTGTTTCTTGAGTCGGGCCAGCCGAAACAACGATCCGCAGGCTAGATGCGTATGCGGAGCATAGCCGTGGCCCACAGTACTGGCAGAGTTCCAGTGCGGACGGCGCTGGCCTATACAGACTCAGTTCCCGAAGCCTTAGCAGAATACCAGAGATCTTGCCTGCCTACGTGCGGCGTGCTACCAGAACTCCAGCCGTGCTGGTTGAGTCGGGCCAGTCGAAAAACAACGGTCTGCAGGCTAGATGGGCATGCGAAGCGTAGCCGTAGACCACAGTCCTAGCATAGTTCCAGTGCGGACGGCGCTAGCCCATCGAGACAAGGCCTGAGCCCACAGCCCAGCAGGGTACCGCGAATTGCTGCGGACAACCCCCTTGCATACAATAGCATCGTGAAACGGACGACCCACTTCTTTATTTTTGGGGGGCAGCGCGGCCAAGATTGGGTACCTATTTTTTTGGGGGGGGGGGGGTCCAACTGTTGGCACTGCGGGCAGGCATGCCGGACCTACGCAACTGCGGCATTGCGGCATGGGTCTTGCCCCGTGGTGACCCTGCGTGGCAATGGTGAGGCTAATGCGTGCCAGCGCATGCAAATGCATGTCGATGCATGCCAACGCATGCCAACGCATACCAACGCATGCCACTGCATGCCAACGCATGCCAATGCATGCCAATGCGTGCCGACGCATGCCAATGCATGCCGACGCATGCCCATGCGTGCTAGAGCATGCCACTTCATGCCAATGCGTGCCAACAAATGCCAACGCGTGCCCACGCATACCAACGCATGCCAACGCATGCCGCTGCATGCCAACGCATGTCAATGCATGCCAACGCATGCCAACGTATGCCAACGCATACCAATTCCAAGCCAATGCATGCCAACGCATGCCAACGAATGCCAACGCATACCATCGCGTGCCAATGCGTGCCAATGCTTGCCAATGCATGCCAATGCATGCCAACGCATGCCAACGCATACCAACGCATGCCACACAAAGCGGAAAGAGCAGGGTCAGTGTAAGGATGAGTAGAACATCAGTGCGTCGCGCCTCTATTGTAAGCAAGACCTTCCAGAGGCACCTCCAGCTCCTGATCCCGACGCAGTGGACAGGGACAGTCAGGCAATTTCCATCGACGCACGCTTGGCCTACATGAGTTATGTCCCACGCGGCGACAGCGTGATCCTGGATCGGCACTGCATGCGGACGTGCAGGAGCAGGCGCCAGAGGAGGTAGCGGCGACATCCGACATAATCATGGAAGAGACGAACCAGAATCAATCTTGCGAGAAGCATCCTAAGGCAGCGGACGGTGGGTGCACTTTGCCATTTTCTGGCACCGACGCCGCAACAAGGGCAGCGGACGGTAGGTGTATTTTGCCATTTTCTGGCGCCGACGCCGCAAGGGCAGCGGACGGTAGGTGCGCTCTTGCCGTGTGCTGGCGCCGACACCACAAGAAGGGCAGCGGACGGTATGTGCACCTTGCAAGTTTCTGGCGCCGAAACCACAGGCCCGAGGGTCATTGACCAAGCTGCCAGGACAGCGAGCGGGCCGCCTTTAGAACGGCCCTGCAGGGGATCGGCTGCCCCCCTTGAGCCTGGCGGGCCGCGACGGGGATGCCGAGCTAAAAGGAAAACTTCGCCCCTTAAGCCCTGTGGCCCGTGCGGATAGCGGCCCGGCCTCGAACCGGCGCCCATGCCGGGGAGACCTTGCCCCGACCCCCCTGCTTCAATCGTGGGGGCTGGCGATCCTGCATGCGGCCCCGCAACTCCAGCCGTGTTTGTTGAGTCGGGC